TGGCACGAGCCGCAAGTTAGCTCATAAATCCATTGGGATTGTGACAGGTCGAGAAAGTTAAGACGGGTGTAGTAGATAGACAGTCCATGATCCAAATCTCCGGGAAATTCTTCTAGGCCAACCTTAGCAATTTAGCACAGTCGCATTACGTGCTAAGATGGATGCACTAGTGATCTTTCGGCCCAATGAGTGTTTCTAGCGAAATTATATCACGGCCTCGAGGAAGTATGAACTTAAGGAACACGGGCTACAAATCTAGATCATGGCAGCAGATACCATCGTGAGAACTAACCCTTCAAAATCAAATGTATTGATTAATTCATAAAACAATGCTTCTCTGATTCTCCATTATTACTATTGAATAGTGAGAGTCATCCTCAGGCACTGGAAAACACCATAACGAGTCTGCACAGACCTATTCCTCCACCAGAGAGCTTGAGAAGTAGTGTCATGGCCGATGGGCATGTCACAGGCTCACAGCAGTTGGCCAGTGGTCTTTGCGTACATTTTTTAGCCGATCTTAATCTGAGATCTACTCCAAATAGCAGAAAGTTTACAAGTCTATTACCATGTTCAGATTTCAGCTGCTCAGGCTCAACTGGGTCTCCACCGAGTCCATTGTTCCATTTCAATACAATAGTTTCTTTTAGTGTCTGCCAATTGTCGGCTGTCAGCCTGTCACTGCTCCGTAATCCCTACACTTCGGAAAATTCCTGCCTAGATAAATGACAACAAAATCAGGACAATGCTACAGGAATATGTGTCTTAGTAGGTCGCAGCTGTTCGAAAGCCCGAAGGACCGATATCATATCCCTTGATATGACCGCTTATGCTGCTACTTCAGTCTTGCCAGTTGAACTGAAACATTGACCGACAGAGCCGATCCAACGGAATCCTGTATCTGCACTGCGCTCACTGAAGATATTGATAGCCCCTGCTCGACAAGCCACAGTTGCACAACATCCACAAAATCGGGGTAGTGGTCGATCCTGAGGGAGTTGACAACTAAAAGCTGGACTGTGGGAAATAGTACAGCCAATAGATAACCTGCATTTATCCCCGACGGCCTCTTGCAACATGAGCAGCAGTCACATTATCACATGGATATCTAGTACTCCGTACTCCGTGTATAATATGTTGTGTATCCTGTATTAAGCGTAGCTGGCACGTTCTGACTCTTCAAACCCAAAAGAGCTCCGAGCTGACAAACCACACTGGCCGATTAAGTACAGTTGTTGAAGGTAAAGCATGGGATTCCGTACTGAAACTCCGTATATCTTCAAGGTGAGATTCGTTTGGCTGAACAGCAACTCCTCAACCCTAACTCTGCTTGCTGCAACTGTGGATATTTGGAATAATCAATCAGTTAGAGCATATCCAGTTATTGTACAGATGCAGTAAAGCTCCTCTATGTGTTCTAAGGGATGTATGTGAATGTCCAGGTAACTCATCTACGCCTGGCGGCCTATGATCCGCCAAGACTCACCGAATATCGAAGGCGGTCAGCGCGCTATCGATAACTATTTTTACTCTTTTTCTTCCTTGGGGGACCTCGAACTGCGCAACTCGGATTTCCTCCTCGGCGTCACTAGTCAGTTGCGTTCAGGCATTCTATTTCACAGTCAAAGCCACTTGAACTTGCTCCGTCAGTTCGATCTGCTCCGTTGGAAGAACACCTAGGAACGCGACGCCCCGAAGGTGCTCCGCTGCTTACAAACTACTGATCTCGGAACAAGAAGAACTGGATAAGAAGGTTCACAACCGGAAAAAGGAAGACATATCCATCGAGACAGACGAGATCTGAGCTAGCGATTCTTGAGAAGGCGCACTCGACGCACTCTTCCGCCCCTGGACCAGGTTGACGAAGCCCGCATTCAACTATCACTCTCTGTACGACTACACGTGCTACATACCCTTTCAGCTTTCTTCGAATATCCACCATGCCAGCCTCTGTACACTCCCAAGATCAAGACCAGTCCATGATGGACACTGCTCCTCAGGAACTAGAACAGCAGCAGGACTATGAACAGGAGGAATTCGAGCTTGAGGAAAAGCGTATTGTCGTGGTGCGTTATATGTCCCCCATCGTCCGCGGTTCTGCTCCCATCAGGCACGCAATGCGAATTTTCGCGGACTGGTCGCTTACTGAATCTTCTTCTTAGCTACCGGGTGCCACCGAGACCGCAGCTTCTTTTCAGTTTGAAGGTGAGGGGCATACTCTGGGGAATGCGTTACGTTATGCCATCATGAAGAAGTGAGTCTGCCTTATTCTTGTTCTCGGAGACGTCGCAACTGCTGACCCCTACCTCTTTCAGCCCCGAAGTTGAGTTCTGCGGATATACGATCCCGCATCCCTCGGAAGCCAAGATGAACTTGCGTATCCAGACTTACGGTATGTGTTTTGCCACACCACACATACGAGCGGTTTAATGGAGCTGACGGGAGTATTGCAGATTCGACAACTGCAGTTGAAGCCCTGGAGAAGGGCTTGGAGGCGTTGATGGACCTCTGTGATGTCGTCACAGACAAATTTACATCGGCGCGGGATGCGTTCAATGCTGCCCAGGCCGATAAGATGACCTCGTGATGCATGGTTCTTCTTGGGTGGATTTGACATTTATGGCGTTGTATATTGAAGCAAAAAGTTTCCTTGGTATTCATTATTGGGACGATTTTGTTGTCTATAGCATTCTACCGGAGTAAACATGTCTTTAATAGAATTATTAGATATCCTTCTACAATGTATGATGTGCAGCAGATGTGCAAATGATAACGTCGGTTCATGAGACGTAGTTGCCTTCTACGATTTGTACAAGCACTGGAAAGGTAGAATGAAGTGCAACATGCAATGAACAAAAGCTGCAATTTGCTAGTCTGACAATATTTACATGACCGCTCTCTATCTGGGACGCAACGCAATGCCCCAATCCCCGAAGACGGAAGAAACTCATGGCAAGTGAAGAAACTCGAACAGGAAATTCAATTGCGGCCTTCCAAGAAGCCGGAGATGAAGTTAGGGGGTAACCTAGCTCCGGGCTCCTCTTCTGGCCGAAAGTATTTCATCACATGCGAAAGCTGCTTCCAGTAGTTGAGCGTTTCCTAGAGAAATACCATCAGTGAGGTCCGAAGAAGGCTATGTCGAGACAAAGGATCAAGCCACGGAGGATATATCGTTGCTCTGAACTGACCTGGTATTCTGCATGGCTCTGGAACAACAGAACATCAACAACGCCCAGCTGCTGGACGTAGCGGTGCTTCTCAAACTCTTGGCGAATCTTCGTCCGGATTGCGGATACGGGGAGGTTCAAGGAGTACATGGTCTGGATCTCCGGGGACTATTCTCCTCAATGTTGTTCTATGTTAGCCATTTCTTGCTTGCAGAGAAACGTTCGCCAAAGCACAGAGCTTTCAGCAGCTCAATGGACGGAAATCCAAAGGCTAAATCAGAGTATGTATAGCTGCGGGATGGGCGAACTGACCGCTCTGAGCCATGCTCTGTAGGACCGAATGACGCGAGACTTTGCATCAGCCCAATTGGCGGCTGCCATGAACATGTACGTTAGCATTGACCAGTTCATCCACTGAACTCGCGGCAATTTGTAAGGTCATCGCGGGACGGTCTCAGGGCGGGAAGGACTGCACGTACAGGAGCGCGTGCGCTGCGCGAGGTAAGTGGGATTGATGGTCATCTTGGAAGTGGTCGGTGATCCGAGCCTAGACGCAGCAAGCTGGGGGAGGGACAGGTGCGCTGAAAGTCGACGTTCCTTTCCAGGCCCAAGTTAGCGTGACGATGGATGGGTTAGAAGTGGAGGTTTGAGATCCTCGCCGGTTGGCCCTACCGCCTTCCTTTTGCGAAAAATTTCGTCCGCAGTTGTTTGGAGAGCATCGAGATTTGCTATGGTCGACTCCAGAAAATAATCTCCATATACGCATTGTTGCCCATTCTATCAGCGCAAGTAACTGTTGAATCTGTCTAAAAAAAATACGACTCTGGTCTACTTTTCGTCCTCTCGCCATCAGCCTACCTTAAGCGAAAGAATATCCGCAAATTCGATTCCCTCTGCACTTGCGAGGCACGATCTTGATAGATAACAGATATGGCGCCAAATAAGCCTTCAGCCAAAGGCAAGTCATCCTCCAAGGGTGAATCAGGAAAGAGCAAGCCTCTCTCATCCGCCTCGAAAGTGAGCAAGAAAAATGCAAAGCGCCCGCCACCCAAGGAAGTGAAGTCGAAGGCACGCACGGAGTCATCACTATTGAAGAAGACGAAGAAGAGGGAATATACAGAAGAAGAACTTGGCCTCCCAAAGCTGAATATGATTACACCTGTCGGAGTTGTGAAGCCAAAGGGCAAGAAGAAGGGAAAGGTTTTTGTTGATGATCAGGTGCGTGTGTCCATTCTCCAATCTTTGTCTCTCGCTTTGGCTGAAGATCACTGACACCTGCACCCTGTATAGGAGGGAATGATGACTATCCTTGCCATGGTCAATGCCGAACAAGAGGGCCACATTGAGTCCAAGTTGCAGAAGGCGCGTCAATTAGAGGAGATTCGCGAAGCCAAGAGAAAGGAAGCAGAAGCGAGACACGCGGAAAAGAAGAACAAGTTGGTATGTGTTGATATTTGCATTATCGTTTACATAGGGAAAATCTTGGCTGGACTTGGCTCTGCATGGAGGCATTGGCTAACAGGAACTTCTGAATACAGGAAGAAGCGAAACAATCAATTCGCCAGAAGCGGAAGCGCAAGAGCGGCGGCAATGAAGACTCTAAACCCGATTCTTCGACGTCCAAATCAGATTCAAAGTCAAAAGGAAAGAGGAAGAGTGTTTCTTTTGCTTGAGTGTTCTATGTACAAAAGTTTATTCTATCTATACCAATTTTATGTATCTAGATGGGGTTATTTGGCGTTTCCGCAGGTCTATGTATTACCCGAAAGTGACATGAATGGGCATTGTATACCGGCCTTCCCAACGAGGCCAGAAGTGTGTATTTATGTTCCCTTATTGCACCATCTTCATGGCCAATTTGCGCCGCATAGGGTCAAAGTCCGGTTTGGGCGCCGTGTCTACATCTTTGTTCAGGTCAAAGTAGTTCGCAATATGACCAGGAAGCTTCTCAGGATGCTCAACTACGAATGGCGTCCCGAGGTCAATCTCCTTCGCCATGGCGTTCAGGAAGTTTGTCACCTGTCTCAAAGGTCAGTAGAAGCGTATGGTGTCTGTAGCAAGATACACACCGGTTTCACAAACCACCTATCTCCACCAAGTTCAAACCAACCGAGGTGACCGCCCCAGGACGTAGTCAACATGACACCATAAGGTGTCTGCGTCATTTCTTGAAACGGAAGCGCATCGACCGAGGCGATCTACAAAGTGATTAGTTCGACGTCAAACTCTAGAATTATTTGCAGGACCGACCGGATCATCTTCAGCCTGCACCGTGAAGAATGGGATTCGAATGGCAAGCATGGAATCGATGGATGCCGCGTCTCGATAGTATGCACCTTCTGTAGGGTATCCCCAGGTTGGGCATTGCAGTGCCCTAACCGAATGATCAATAACCGAATGACGAAAAAGTGTTCTGAGAGAATGTACAAGGTCTTACCGATCAAATTCGTGCAAGTATGTAGAGTTTCTGACTGCCTCCACGTCCACTCGCGGATTTCTTGAGACTTCTTCAACATGCCTGATATAGACCAGTCAACCTGGATGTCAAGATAGCTATTGACAGCGCTGAACTCACTGTTCAAATAGTCGCTTCATGCTTGATCCCATCGTCTTACTGTACACCTCAAGTCCGAGCCACGTCTTTTGGAGGTTTGCCGAGCTGACATTTAAATTCCAGGGGCTTGCACAGAGCACCGCCGCTTTCAGCTGACATGCATCACCTTCTTCGCCGAGGTACTGTGCACGAAAGTGTTAATTCACTCTTAAATCACGAAGGGAGAGCAACTTACATTGGCAAGGATATTTGCGCCGAGAGAGAACCCAATTCCGAACAGGGGTCGATTAGGAAACGCTTTGCGGAGCCATTTTACAGTTTGACGAACATCCCACGTGGCCCGGGCATTGTAGAGCACTCCGGTAGTAATTTTGGTTTGAGAGCAGCCTCTGGAATTGACCACACATGCTTCCCAATTCCCATCCGCAATGAGTGGCGCGAGTACATGGCGCAGATAGATCTCGTGTGAGCCACCGCTTAAGCCATGGAGAAGCACAAGCATGGGCTTCGTATCGTCTGAAGGCAGAGCTTGGAACTCCTCTTCTGAGAAGAAAGACGTCCGTTCCGGAAGACCTGAAGGCAGAGTGAATCTCCTTGCTTCATCAGTAGCTTCGGCGTTGTCCTTGGGCGTTTCGTACGGCTCAACGACAAAATCCACTGCAAAGTGCCCTTTATACATCGAACTGTCGGCCTCAAACATCCTACGCTTGTAATACACAGGAACATCATCGAATTTGACGGTGGTCCAGGCAGTCTGCAAATGCCCATTGAAGAGGAACGGATTCAGATGGCATTTCGCCGGCGTCGCAGAGCGACAGACATCCGCCAGCGCAACCTGCTGCTTAACACCGGATTCGCCAGGCTTCTTGGTCAACAGGAGTTTGTTATCCTTGGAATGGAAAAAAGAAAGCCGTGCACTTGGTCGAATCCATGACAACATGCTTATTACGAGCAGCAGCCCAGAGATAATCCACGGAAGTAAATAGGAGTTTAGAATACTTTGAATGGCAAGTCAGTCATGGCCACAGCGGCAGTCTAGAGAGCTGAATGAGAGCAATGATCGACTGACCCGTCTGAATACATCAACAATCTGATCTATAAGCAGATTTTTGCTATGACAATAGTAGCCACAAAATGAAAGAAATAGAATACAGAATCAAGAGACAGAAACAGACCTACGTTACCACTCTGCACCACGCCTTCTGCATGTATAGGATTTTTTCCTCTCCTTCTGCCTCGGCATCACTACCATATCGGGAAGCCATGACATAAGCATCCTTATCTGATCAGTGACTCAGCAATCACATGCTTGCTTCCCCTGTTTGTTCTGTTTGCTTTCCCTTGCATCATGAGACACACGGAAACCCTATGATCAGGATGCTAGCAGTCAGTTGATAACACAATAAAGCCAGTTACATCGAACTCTTTCCCTCCTCTTTTTATCAGAATGGGCTGTGGCTTTTCTTAAGTCAAGTGGCACATGCTGGAAGTGAGCATATTTTGAGAAGAAAGATGCAGACATATACGAGACTTAAGAGTGCTCAATGCGGCTGCCAGGAATCCGAAAGCGGAAAGCCAGCTCAAAATTCGGCGAGAAGTCATCCTGCAAATCCCTTCCACCATGGAAATCTGGTTTCTAAATTTACTTTACAGATTATTTGGGACTTATGTATGCTTGCAGCATTTTTTTAATCGATGAGTTGAAGCAGCCATCCTTTGGGGTGGTCGGACAGTGACCCTGCATCGGGAGCCTTAGCCCTTGTATGTAATGCTGATAGCATCTGCTGCACTGTGATCATAGCGCGTGCTCCGTTTGCGTGCAACTTAAGCCATCGTGGGGGACTACTTCAAGGTCAACAGGTCCTCCGTATCTTGGTCTTCCTCTTTGAATGGCTCTTTGTCACGCGATGCACTTTTTGTGTCTTTCATATAACTACACACTATGATACCAGAGAGCCAGCAGCCAACTAGCTGGTTCTTACCATATCCATGACTTACTGTCAATCTTCAACGAAGGTTTTCGGAGTAAAGGGCGAGAAACGCTGGAGACAAAGCGCCAAGTTGCTGGTTTCTAGTCTAGCCCGTATCAAAAGCACGCGGCTTTCAGTCAACATGGTGTATCCTTTCCGCCGGGCTGGAGAAAAGCTGAAGACTGTTGCGAAGATGGATACGTGGGCGCGAGGTCAATCCGAAGAGCAGACCACAGCGACGAAACCTTCGACCCGGTGCTATCTCCTTGAACTGCCAACAGAGCTGCTGCTAGAGATCATCTCGCATCTATCTGTAATACCTGAAACTTGCCTGGCTCTGACCTGTAAACGAATGTTTGCGATATCCGGAGCCATTTTCAGATCTGTAAGGTACAGAAACTGCCTCGTCAGCTTTACCCAGAGATCGAAGTCCACTACGCTAACTTGGACCCTTCAGGTTTAGCCAGGATTTTGCACCTCTATTCCTTCATTACCGAAACGGACACAACTTCGTCACCACCCGATGGCAACTCATCAATATACTAGAGAACAGCAGGTGGTGGGCCTGCTCAAAATGCTTGAAGCTCCATCCGCGAGATGCTTTCTCCTCTCGCGAACTCAGGCGCAAACCAGAGGACCGAGTATGTCTGTTGGGTAACCTTGCGGGCATAGTTGACTTGTGTCCCTGCAAGAAATTGACGTTTCGGGATAAGATGGATCTTGTTGAACTTTTGAAAGTGCGACAGCGGTCGGTTGCCGCCTTACAGTCTCAGTTCGGAGCCAGCATTCAACAGCGGTTCTGCTGGCATTCTTGCATCAAGGACTATGGCCCTACGCAGCTACAAATTGAGATCTATCCGGAGCTGGACTATCAAGATCAGTTGAGAATCAAGACCGAATACCGATTGACAACGGAATCCGGAAAGCTAGGCAAGGAAGAATACATAACGCCCCGGTTCGGATGTGCTCATCGATCAGTCGACCTGTGGCTCTCCAGTGTATGCCAGACGACTATTTGCCAAAGCTTCGACAGCATCTGCGCGTCATGCAAGCGAATATCATTTTGCAATTCTTGCAACTCTGTGCTCAAGTGTCCTCGGAGGCAACCTTCCCGTGTTGACCAGGACTCAGGCAGGGCAACTTACCACTTCTGGACCGAGAGATGCCTTGGTGGCGCGACATCGACGCCAGATCAGACGTGGGCTTCTCAACGTATACATCCCGCTGAGAATTCGGTTGAAGTCGACAATTGCAGCGAGTTATGCCCTTGGACTGTCCGGGAGCATCCTCCTCCTACCGGCCCACCTGCTTTGGGAATGGATATCCTTGGTCCTGCAGTCCAAGATCAGTCAATGAGTCAGCTTTACACTTCAATAAACCTGATTTAAAGACCGGGAAGACTCTCTGAGCCTTCGGCACTTCCACCTCGGCCATTAGGCGGGGGCAAGGCGTTATGATGACACGCATTCATACTGCTTCTTTGTTTGCCATTGTGTATTATGCTTCTCATTTCCCAGTGACTTCTTGTGGATTTGATTCCCTTCTCTTTTTTGTCTATTTTGGATAGGTACCTTTGCTTCTCATAGAGTATACCCTCATAGTAGACCAAGTCGTTTCCTTGCAATGCATACCTGTACCATCTGCTTGATATTTGTCTACCTCAGTCTCTTGTAATAATCGTTAATAAAATAGAAGCACCTTGCGAATAAACGTCGATGGTTTCAGCACGAGCGTCGTTTTGCTAGGCTGTCGCTTTCCGAAGTCATACATCGATCAATCAGGTGGTCTGACCGCCCTGGAGTTTCTCCGAACCGAAAACGGAAAAGGCGCGTATCATGATGAAAGGTATCTGGTTCGATAACATCTTCGTCCTCAAATTCGAAATCTATCATCCGGGATAGCAGAGTGTTGCGATTCCATGACAGTTATCTGCGTTCGGGGGCGATGAACTACCCACCATCTCATAACGGTCAATATCCCCCGCAGTATTTGCAACAACCACAGCAGCTACTGTATAGCAATGCCGACTCAAACGCTTCGCCATATGAGTATGGCAAGCCTGTCGCTTACCCTCAGACTATAATTTCGCCATATTCGACGTACGGACAAGCATATAATATAGAGCAGCATCAACACCAACCACAATTGCAGCATCACCAACAGCAGCAGCAGCAGCAGCAGCAGCACCAGCCGCAGCACCAGCCGCAACAGCAATATGTGAACCCATCTGACGTGTTCCATCAACCGCTTATTCCTCCTGCCTCGTCATCTCAACTTGCCCATGGCTCAACCCAATATGGTGCCCAATCCATGGTTTCTGTTGCAGGCAACAGCAACCGTTCCCCAGCCGTCGCAACCGCACAATCAACACCTGCGCAATCAACACAATCGGCATATCAGACAGCCCCAACTCCAAACTTGGGGAATAATGTCTTCAACCAGTACCCCCAGGTTGCTCTTCCAGCACCTTCGGTTCCAACTTCGAATTCAGTAGCTGCCGCTCCTCCTGTGCCATCTCCGAAACCCGCTCCTCCTCCGTCATCATCGAAACCTGCGACTCCTGTTCCATTCTCGAGACCTGCTCCTCCCGTTCCGTCGGCATCGAAACCCGCGCCTCCCGTGCAGACCAAGAAACCCCTCCCTCAAGTCCTGGTCCCGGCTCCTTCACCGGAAGTCCAACAGAAAATGCAGCGCCAGGGCTCTAAAAAACAAGTGCAACGACAGAACGCTCAGCAACCCGTGCAAAAGCCAACCAAGCCGCCTATAGATTATCAAGTCCTCTTGTTGAGCTTGGCAGATGAGTATTTAAAGGCAGCTTATGGTCACGGGACCATGGTCGCTTTATCAAGGCGGGAGATGGAAATTGAGGAATATTACAAGCTTGTTGCAACAGGTCTTGGCTGTCTCGAGGCAGTATTAAAGGTTTGAATTACCGCTTCCCCCAATTACAACAATTGCTTTGCCAGTAACTGTCGAGCATTCAAGCTAATTTCAGTGTTGCCCTTCAGAATTGGAGGCTACAACCGCGAATGGAAGCTCTCGTAAGGTTGCGATATGCGCGCATACTGTTTGAGGAGACGGAGAATGATCTTGAGGCAGAAACAGCCCTGAGCAAAGGGGTAAGGGCTCCAGCGCACAATCGTACATTAAACCAGCAGTCTACTGACGTTGTTGCTTCGACAGATTGATTTATGTGAGAGAGTGAGTTGGCATCCCTCGGCTATGCATTGCCGTCCCTCCTGGAACACACTATCAGATTACTTACGGTGTTGCAGAATCGCATGTTAGATCTCAAATATAGTATGCAGCATCTTCTGGCGCGGATGCTACACAAGACCAACCCGAAAGCCTCATTGAAGGCTGTCGATGGTATGATCCTTGATGTCGAAGCGTAAGTCGGAACATTGCATTCCACACAGCTTGGTTCTAACAGTCGCAGATACCGCCATTCGGCTTGGGAGTATGCTTTTCGCTTTCTACGGGTGTCACTTTCGTTATCAACATCGGCGCATCAGGATTCCGTCTCGGCGCTGCAACATTTACATAAGATCTCGAATATGGCTAACCGACAAGGCGACAAAGCTGTTGCGGCCATCTCGGCCGTGATCGAAGCACTTGCTCATCTGCAACATGGAACGAGCTCCGATGCAATCGAACAGGCTCAGCGTGCGGTTGCAGTAGCAAGAAGCCATCAACTCAACGATGAGCTCCGTCATATACCGCAGCTCTCGACTCTGGTGCAAATGGTTGATATTTGTTGTAGTCTCCTTGAATACGACGTCAACCAGTCATCTCAGAAATTGAAAGTCATGCAAGATTTGATGGACGAAAGATTGAATGATCCGAATTGGCGTGCTGATGGCTCTTTCTCAATTCCCTTGAGCGGAAGATCAGCTGGACCCTCCTCCATTGACACAGGCGATATCCTTCAAGTTCAAAATGGGACACTCCTATTGAGTTTCAATTGGCTTCCCCAGCACGATCTCTATGCGCTTTGCTATTTCCTCAGCTCGATCACACTCAGCGCAAAGAACTCTTACGACGGTCGTAAGGCCGAGAAATTTCTCCAGGAAGGGATACGAATGGTTAAAGGTATGTCCTATTTCCGTTCTAGGGTTCCAAAATCTCTAACGGGAGTCCGCAGGGAGCTTCAAAGCACCGCAGGAAATTGCAGAGTCAATGGTCAGTGCGAATAGACGCGTTGATTGGCGACGGACCCTGTATTGCAATCTTCTTCTGCATCAGGTTTTTCTTGCCTGTGGTCGGACAGATTGGGATCTGGCGAATCAGACACTAAAGGAGCTGCGCCCCATTGCAGAGGAACTTGGGGATCAGCTCCCTGACACCATTCAGCGCTTGATGGAGTATGCAACGGGCGCACTTGCGCAGGCGACCGGTGATCTAGAGGCTGCCCTTTCCATTTTCCAGTCCCCTCTTCTCTCACTATCGTCAATCACCGGCAAGACAGCACGAAATGATCCTCGTCGCGACATCGCTATCCTTGCCGCCTTAAATACGATCCTCATTCTCCGTGACCCCAAGCATCCGTCTCACTCCAATCTTCCCAGCGCTTTGGCCCTTGTCGAGTCATTCTGTAAGGGTAGCCCGAACAAGTATATCCAGGCGGCTTATTACCTTGTATGTGCGACAGTGCAAACAGAGTCAACCATTCAGACCAAGCAGTATCTTCAGCAGGCTCTTCAATCTGCCACTGCAATAAGCAACAGTCAAATCACCTGCATGACGCTGACGTTCATGAGCTGGAAGTATTTCCGCGGCGTTGTTGGGGAGCAAGCTGAAAAGAGCGCTCGCGCGGGCCGGGCAATGGCAAAGAAGGCCAATGACCGACTTTGGGTCAGCGTCACTGATGAAATGCTGGCAGAGACGTTGGAAAGGCAAGGGAAAAGTGAAGAGGCAGAGGGAGTTCGCGACGAGGGCCACCGCGTGATGACCGGATTGCCGCCAGCTCTGAAACGGCCTGTGTGATTGCACCTTTCTTCTCTTTATATCTTCGTTCTTATTTCTTTTCATTTTCGCTTCTTCTGTCCAAGGCAATTTTGCTAGCCTTCTGTTCTGTGATACCACTTCATGGCCGATTGTGATGATCTTTGCGTACATGGGACATGGCTGGCGCATCTGGGATACATAAATGGGAGCTCGTCTATTGATACAACAAGTTGTTGCTACAGCATCCGCTATATGAACATGGAGGTCTGCTATGGACATGCAGATTGCAGGTATTGCCCTCCGGCACCTGATGAAAATGAACGAGAATTTGTTCAGAAACACTCAACTGCATAATCCTAGTAAGTCTCCAGACATTGATAAATTGCGATTTCCTTGACGGAATTGAAGTGCGCACAAGTTGGATGCGCCGACTACATCGCATCCACTATTCAACCTTGCTGGCAAGGCGACTACTTAATATACATGCATTGAACACGCGAAGGCTCTTTGGCCATGGCACAAACAATCTCAATGTAACTGCCGACACGAACCGGATTGAAACCCTTATTCCTGAATAAGACTCCACAACTCTCCATACGCCTGCAACGTGTATACCACTCAAAGCAGGGCTGAATCGCACCGTGACATAGCAGTAAAAAGCCTCGAATGGGGATCGGACATCACGGAACAAGTCGACTTTCTGCGTGCGATAATCGATATTGGGACCGTTGCTCCCTTGCGTCTGATTCTCATATGAGAAATATTTTTTTCCCTTTTGTTGACTGATATTTCTTTCCCCAGAAAACGCCGTTATATTGCAAATTGGAAGCTCAAAATCAACCCAGGCCGCCCCAAACGCCGCGTATTCTTCGGGCGAGCTGGATATCTTTCTGCATAATCGTTACACGCTTAGCATGCAAAGCACAGAGATTTGTATCCTCGAAAAGATGGACGAGGAAAGCTTCAGCTGCCTCCTGTAGTGCCTGAATTGCGTGTGACTGCCATCGTAACTCCGCGCCCACTTCAGCGGGGAGAAGTTCCAGTGCGACCTCGCGTACGAGTCGCGCAAACGGTAGCTTCTGAATAAGGAGGTCATATGAGCGCTGGTATTTGCGGATCTCTTTCAATGCGACGGTCCCCGGCTTGTACCGGTGTCGGCGCCCTTGGGGGGTTGGGTCCCCAGCTAGTTACAGTATTAGCGATAATGCTATGGCATAGGTTTTGATATGTCTGCGTAAGGAGTCATGTATGTACATACGTTGCACGTCTGACGGCCTTGGGGCGCCGGCCGGTCGCTTGCCCCCCCTTGTTCCTCCGCGGGACTTGGGCGGCCGTCCCCGAGTGGAAGGTGATGCAGTGGCCGCAGCATTAGATGGTCCTGCACCTCCGTCATCTCGAGGTTGCGTTCGAGGAGCCCCAATTGCTTTACGTCCTCGTCCAG